ACTACGAGCCCAGTCTTCCTGGGTCTCCTGTTCATGAGGATCTGCAGCACCTGGTGCCCGAACCCTCACAAGCAGCCCAAGACTCTGAGCTCCCTCAGGAGTATCTCCCTGGTGGGGACGTTGAGATGGATCAGGTTGATATGGATGACTACACTGTGCCCATGGATGTTGCTCAGGGATGTCCTTGACAGTGCGAGCATGCCTCAGTTCATGTTCTCAGTGATTCCGGACCAGAAGCATCACCTGAGTCCTGTTGATTACGGTGAGGTCGGCTTGTTTGCTGCTCAGCTTAAGAGAAAAGCACCCGCTCAGCACAGTAACCCCGATGAGGGGGTAGCCATGCCTTTCGGTGATCGGGAGGTGTGGGTCATCAAGCCCACTTCTGTGGTTGATGATGTCAGTGGCTTGCCTTTGGATCCTGAGAAAACGTGGGTTGGCATGCAGAAAGAGGTGTCTGCTATGCACAACTTGGGTGTCGGCAACGCCCGCACCTATGATGAGATTAAGACCCACTGCCAGGAGACAGGTGCCAAGATCATTAAGTCGCGTTTTGTCTTCACTGACAAGGTTGATGTTGACGATCAGCACATTGTGCGTGCGCGCCTTGTTGCAAAAGACTTTGCTTTCAATCAACCTTCGGCGCTTGACTTGGGCATTGCGAGCCAGACTGCTTCTGTGGAGGCCTTCAAGGCTTTCATCTGTCGTGTTGTCCAGGATACGCTTGTCCTTTGGGGACTTGACGTTTCGACTGCCTTCTTGTATGCCAAGTTGGTTCTTGATACCGTGCTTGAGTTGCCGGGATGCTTTCAGAACCTTGATGGCTCTAAGGTTTACGTCATCCTGGAGAAAGCCATATATGGCTTGAGATCGGCAGGCCTTTCGTGGCAGAAGCATCTTGCTGGACTTCTTGCTGAGTTGGGATTGTTTCCTTCTCTTATTGAACCTACGTTGTACAAAGGGTATTGGGGAGACATCCTTGTGCTTTGTCTTGTGTACGTCGACGACATCTTGCTAGCCACAAGAACGAAAGAGGCAAACCAACAGCTTCTAGACTTCCTCATGGGCCGTCTTAAGGTCAAGTTGACTGGACGCTTGGATGAGGACGGCAGGATCGGATTCCTAGGCCGTGAGATAATCAAGCGTGGCCATGAGATCTTGTTGGCTGTGAAGAAAGAATACGTCGATTCGATCTTCGAGGCTTTTGGGTGGAGCCAGGAGAACCGCAGGAAGATGAAGCCCTGCACTGCACCACCAGACCTCCGATCGATCCTTGACAAGGAAGACCCCGAGAAGCCCTCCGAAGAGCTCTCCCCTGAAGCCGCGAGCCGCTTTAGAAGCACCCTAGGGAAACTAGGCTGGCTTGTGCAAACCAGGGGGGATTTGTGTTATTTTCACTCCATGCTGTCTAGAGGTCAAGCCTGTCCGCGCGCTGTGCATGAGGATTGTATGCGTAAAGTGCTCCGTTGGCTTTTGGAGGTTCCCGATCTTGTTCAGGTCTTTCAGAAGGACTCCAAAGCTCAACCTGGGACTGCAACCCTCGTTGGATTCAGCGACGCTAATTGGGCCTCTGAGCGCTCTACGGGACGGAAGAGCACCAGCGGAGGAGTGATTTACCTGAATGGGAATTGTATCAAGACTTACTCGAGGCTCCAGCCTATCGTAGCACTCTCCAGTGCGGAGTCTGAGCTTTTCGCTATGGTTGAGATGGCGCGCGAGCTTGTAGGATTGGGGCAGCTTTTGGGCCACCTTTTCGAAAGCGTTGCGCAACCCCTATACCTGCCTACGGACAGCTCTTCCGCTCGCCAAGTCAGTATGATGTCCGGCTTCCTGAGAAGGATGCGTCATGTGGACCTTCGTCTTTGCTACTTGCAGGATAAGGTTGAGAACGGCGAGATCCTGGTTACACACGTCCCAGGAACGGATAACGTCGCCGACTTGCAAACAAAGAACTTGAGTGTCGCGCAAACTTGGTATCATATAGGACAGTTGTGTCTTGAGGAACGTCTCACCCGTAGTGACTATCTTCGAGGTGATGCGCCCCCGGTCCGTTGCCTTGTGTTTGCCGCGTTCAAAGGTCTGTTTTCTGCAAGCGTCGATGATCCTTGGAGTGTGTTGGTTGGTCGTTGTCGGTTGCAGACACCGCATTACATTGTGATGGTCGAGTTCTGCACCTCTGGAGAAGCCTGGTTGACTAAGCTTGCTAGCCACTATGGCATCCATGCTATTCCCGTGACGGAAGAAACGGATGGGACTCTTCCGGAGACCATCGAGCTCATTGAGCATGCGCTTCGTTCGGCGCACCGTCGGAACATGCATGTTGTTGTGTGGGCTTCGACGCCCTGTACCGGTGGTTCGCCTTGGCAGCGGTATCACCAAGCCCGATCTGCAGATCACTATGATGATAGAATTAAGGGACTCTTCACAGTCCACAGAAAGCTCTGGAAGAGCTTCTTGAAGCTAGTCAACACATCTGATTCGGCAACTTGGGTCATTGAGTGGCCGCAACGTTGTGCTTACTGGGGATGGTCCGCTACGAAATCATTCCTTAAGATCAATCCGCATGAGACCGCTCTTGTGCATGGCTGCGCCTGCGGTATGGTTGGAATGGACGCACTTCCTGTGAAGAAGGTTTGGAGGTTGTGCTCGAACAGTCATGTTCTCATTCACTGCATGGATAAATTAAAGTGCCCTGGAAACCACGAGCATAGTAAGATGTTCGTTCTGAAGAACACCCAGCACTACCCCGAAGCTTTTGCTCACACAGCTCTTAGGGCTTTGAGTGCTTGGTAGGTGCTGACGCCTCTTTGTACAGCCGCAGTCGTTTTTGGAAGAGCCATAAAACTATCGTGGACCGTGAGAAGATCTACGAGCCCAATACGCAACAGCAGCCAGTGGACCGATACCTTTTCTCGACGACAGGTTCATGAGGGGGAGTTGATTTTCAATCCGGCTCAAGTTTTCGGCTCAGACTTTGCAGTGCCGACGTGGCCTTTTAGCCTGGAGTCCCTACTTTTGCTAAAGGCCCTGACTGGAACCCAAACCGCAACCTTAAAGGTCGTAGGCTGGCTGTCCAGCAAGGGTTGGGGCGGGGTAGCGCCATACTGCACGTGCTTTCAAGCCGAACACTTGCTCAGCCGTTGTCACAGGTTGAGCTTGCTCGCCATGACTTGGGGAAAAAACGGTGCCAAGGGTGCAGCAACGCCCTACATCGTCTGTCCTCACTGCTCTAGGGCGGGTAAGCAGAGCTGGATTTTCGTAGACAGAGTCCAGCACCACCCCTTTTGCAACCTGTGTGGCAACGCCTGGAAGACACAGGGTGCTCCGGTCACTCAAAGACTGCGCCCGCGGGGTCCCAAGAAGAACAGGGACAGAAGCGCAGCCACTGAGAGTGCAACTCAAAGCCCCCAACGGCCCAGGAATCATGAGGGCAACCTCTCCAAAGCCGTCACGACACTTTGGCAGAAGTTTCCCCCAGAGGTCCAGAAGGAACTGAGCGAGGCAGGTTTCCAAGCAGGCCGGCAGCCGAGTCCGCCTCCAGGCCTCCAGTCTGGAAAAGGCAACGGGGCAAAGGGTGGGCTTGACGAGCAGGCCGAAGCCTCTAAGAACCTGTGGGACTCTGCGTCTGATGATCAGAAGAAGCTGATGCGCCAAGCTGGCATCCCTGAGCCGGTTGCGTCGGAGCCAACAGACCTTGCGGCCCTTTGCAAGAAGCACTTGGAGTCAATGCCGCCTTCGATCCAGCAAGCCCTTGCAGCACTGGATCCTCCGGCCCCCACGCAGACTCAGCAGATTGAGATTGCAACTCGTCGCTTTAAGCAGAGCACTACGGACTTGCGACTGATGATCCAGCAAACTGCTGCCTTACAGATTCGCATAGACCGCGCCAAAGCAACCTACCAGGAGCTGCTTGAGAAGATGAAGGTTTGCCAATCTGATTGCAGAGCAAACAAGCTGAAGTCACGGCTATGCAGTCGGAGTTGGAAGCCACACTCCGTGCTGATGCTTCGGGTCTGGAGGACCCCGCGCGCAAGGATGATCCCTTGGAAGGGCTTCTGGATACGCTTGCCAAAGTTGGAATTGTCCTGACCCAGGAGCAGAAGGATCTTTACGAGGAGGCCCAGCGCGGCAAGCATAATGATGGGCAGCAGAATATGGAAGTTGAAGCCACAAACCAGCCTGGTTTGACGGCTCCGACCCGTGCCCCGCTGAGCCAAACTCTGCCAGAACACAAGGGCACTGAGCCGCATGAGCAAGCCAAGCCCAGGTCCAGGAGCCGAGGCCGTAGCACTCAGCAAGGTTAGGGAGTGGGGCTGGGGGTCCAGGTTAGGTCTGTTTTCGAGGAAGGTCCTTTGAGTGGGGAGAGTGGGCAACCTGCTTGTGCATTTCAGCCTGCCCTTCAGCTTGATCAAGACGTTTTCTGTGCCCCTGCGTCCAGCTCTCAGCCATGCGGGTTTTCCGGCGAATCGGTTAAGCGACCCATATCTTTGTACAGTGATTTGTTTTCATTGGGGGAGTGCCAACCTCAGCAGCCCAAGTCCTTAGAGAAGGTTTCAGGGTATGTTGAGGCTTACTCACAATTTTGCAACAACGACCTTGTATGGGGTCAGTTTTGGTTACCAGGTTTTTCTGGTCAGGAAGAATGGGATTCTTGTGGGGATCTGAGTGCCTGGCAGACTGTTACCAAAGGATTGCGCCACAGCACCCCGCTGCAGTCCCAGGACACCCAACTCATCACAGGGCCCCAGTTCTGGCCCCCATCTTTCTCGACAACTGAGTTTGATGAGGTCCCTGTGACCGGTGCTTCTCCAATCTCTGCTTTTGTGGCCACAACCTCAGCAACGGCATCTCAAGTTGAGGAGTTTCCTCGCTTACAGGCGTCGGGGAGCCATGCCGAGGTAGGGGTCACCCGCAAACGTAATAAAACCAGACGTAGAACGAAAAAGCCCAAACACATTCGGGTACCCTTCTCTCAGCTTGCCCCTTGTGAAATGCCACCTGAGGTGCCTCCTTTGGCAAGCCCACACAGCCAGTGGCGCACACTCGAAGGCCAGGTGTGGGAGGCTGTCAAGAACCCAGATCTGTTGGGAGCAACTTCAGAGGTGGTTGGCCACCTTCTTGATCAGGTTGAGCAGGGCAGCTTAGGTTGGTGGCTGTGCCAGGAGATCTTGGCCCTCCAACGTTCTTTTGACTTGACTTTGCTCTTGCTTGTTGCTCGGGGCTTTGAAGTTTTGCGCAAATCGCAGCCACAGGGGCACAGGCAAATGCGAGTCACATCTTGCAACATCACTTCTTGGAGGCCAGAAGTCAAGCAATGGTTTTCAGCTCAAGGGGATGTTATCTTGATTCAGGAGCACCACCTTTTGGAGTCCCAAATTGTTGCTGAAATTTCGTCTATGGCTGCCATGGGCTTTGACTCTTTCCTTGTGCCCGCAGCCCCTGGGGAGGGCCGACGGAATAGCTCTAGAGGCGGAGTAGGGGTTTTAGTTAGAGCCCACCTGGGAGCCCGTTTGCGAGGCCAGTATACCAACCAAGGTTGCGGTTACGTGGCGGTGACGCTACGCACACAAGGGGCTGACTTGACAGTAGTTAGCCTGTACCTCCAGTCTTCTTCCGGCTTCGGGTCCCCGGTCAACTCTGACATCCTTGCATCTCTGCGCGCAATTCGTCAATCTGTGAGGGGCCCAATCCTGATAGGTGGAGACTGGAACTCGCCTTTGAAGGATTTGTTGGACACTGCCATTTTTCAAAGTTTGTCCCTGGAACCAATTGGGCCCAACAAAGCCACCTGTGGTGACAATGAGCTTGATTTTCTGGCTGTATCACACTGCCTGGAAGGTTTGCTCCGGGTTGATGCCTCCTGGGATGTTCCTTTCAAGCCACATGCAGCAATCCAAGTTGCCCTCAATGTGGGCGCTTTCCAGCTCACCACTCCACAGCTTCCCTCCTTTGTGCTTTCCTTCAGGGAAGAACCGCTTGATTACATACAGGTTGAGGAGACCCTCGCCTCCTTGCCGGATACCACCTTTTCGGCTGACCCTCTGAGCAATCGACTGGCTTCCATTTCCAGTTCGGTTGAGCACAGTCTTTTGCAATCGTCCCAGGGTATTGGTCGCCAACTCCAAGTTGCATTCCTCCCAGCTGTTCCTCGCATGTCCCAGTTCGCATGGGAAGGTTCTTGCCAGGCTTTTTGGCACCGGGTACAATTTCTGTGCCAGGGAGACCACCCCAAACGTCGAGAGCAATGCCAGGAGTATTTGCCGCAGATCCTGGACCACTGGCAGGGCAACTCGGAGGAAGCTGTTTCTTTTCTTTCTACGCTCCAGGCCTGTCTCTCGGAGCAGGCTGCTGTTCCCGAGCCCGTCCAGCAAATATTGCAGGAGCAATTTCTGCTGGCCTCTAAAGTTCACCAGGATGCCCAGACCAAATCGTACAGGTCGTGGTTGCAGGGAGCCCAAGAAAAAGGGATGGCCCCCCTTTTCAAGACGATCAAAAAAGGTGAAATCACCACTGCACGTCCCTTTCGGGATCTGTCCGCAGAGGTTCGCGCCCTGGCCAGAACCAAACTATGGCTCCGCACTTGGAAAGGCGTACTTAGAGTTGAGGACCTTCCTCCTCTTCCACACGCAGAGCAACAGGCTCGCGGAAAGCTACGGGAACTTGCTGCTCAGCAGGTCGCTACCCTGAGCCCCATTTCCCCGGAACAGCTGCAACAAAGGTTTTCCAAAGGCAGGGTCACTGCCCCAGGACCGGACGGCTGGAGCAAGTCCCTTCTCAAGAAATTGACTTGGCCAATGCTTCAGGACATCGCTGAATTTTATCAGGAGCTCGAAAGAGGCCTCCGAGTCCCGCAGCAGTTTCTCCTGACACAAGTTTGTATGCTGCCTAAATCGGCTACTGCTGAGAGACCTATCTCTTTAACTCACGTTTTGTGGAGGGACTACTGCAGAGCCAGGTGGTCCCTGATCCAAGAGTGGACGGTCTCCTACCAGGCCCTGGCTCCTTGGGATGCCGCAGTGCCAGGTCGAACATCTTTAGACATCGGCATCCGCCGGTTGCTGTGGGCCGAAGCCTCCCGAACTCAGTCCAAACACTTTGTAGGACTCTTTCTTGATATCAAAGGTTTCTATGATTGTGTGGTTTGGGCCTCGGTAGTCGACACTGGACTCCTGTTACAGTTCCCACCTTTGCTTTTGGAGCTTTCCCTTCAAATTTATGGTGGGACACGATTTGTCTCAGCCGAAAATTCGGTTTCGCCGGGAATCATTCCCACAGTTGGGCTGCTTCAGGGTTGCCCTGTTGCGCCGGTGGTTTCGAAACTGGCTTTGTTTGTCCCAATCAGGGACCTTCAGGCCACTGGCCTCACTCACAACATCGACCAGTGGCTGGATGACATTTCGGCTGACGTGGTAGGGTCCACTGCTTCTAACACGGCTCACAAAGCCCTCAAGACATTTCGTATACTGCGAGACTCTCTTGCGGAACGAAATCTTCAGGTTTCCTTGGAAAAAACCAAGTTTCTTTGCTCAGACTCTGCCACCTCTCAAGTTCTTGCGCGTCTGCGTTCGGACCAAGATCCTGGCATTACTCTGTTAGCCAAAGACTTAGGAGTTGACAGCAATGCTGGCAGACGCCGCAGGCTTGCCACCTCTCTGGGCAGGCACAAGAAGGCGCAAGGCCGCCACAAGCGCCTTCGTGCTTTAGGTGTTGATTCGCAATGTTCACGCACGAGGGTTGTGCGCGGATCCATCATGACGTGTGCCACCTATGGCCATCAGGCACAGGGTGTTAGTCCCAAACGGTTGAAATGGCACCGCGCTGTGCTGGCTGGTAGCTTAGGACGCCAACATCTAGGAGGAACCCTGACCGTCTTGGAGATGTTCTCCCACAGATTTCCGGATCCCCGAGAGCAGATCATTTGTGAGCATTTGCAAGTTTTTCTTCGTATTCTTGGCCGTTCTCCTTCCATCTGGGAGGAAGTTCAAAGGTCCTGGCCCTTGGTCAAATCCAGGTTGGAGGCTTCGCCTCACCCTTGGAAAATCGTTGCCGGACCCATTTCGGCCATGATTCAGTATGCCAGGGATATGGGATGGGATGTCCAGTCCCCGGAAGTCTGGCATATTGATGGCCACCCCTGGCCCGTTGACTTCAGCCCCTTTCTTTTTCAGGAGCTGCGGCGCAAGATTCGGTCTACCATCAAGAGCGAAAGGTTGCGAGCCATCTCTGGCCAACATGGCGGCCAAGGAGCTCAGGAGGGTGTAGATTTCACAATTCATCGCCGCATTGCTTTAAAGAAGACCAAACGTCTGACCTTCTACAGGTCAATTTGGCAAGGTGCAGTTGTGCACGCGGGAAGTGGTGGCCACCCCAAGTGCCCGTACTGTAAGGATCGGGGCCTTGATTCAGAAAACACACTACAACATGTGCTGTGGGACTGCCCCAGATGGGCCAGACAGCCAAAGCTTCCCAGGCATCTTGAACAAATGCGTCAGTCCCATCCTGCGCCCTGCCTTTGGTTGCGAGCCCTTCCCCCTCTTGCCTATGTCTCCTCGCCACTTCAGAACGCTGAGGATAGGTATGCGGGCACCTGGCCGTCACAGCCCTGGGACTCGGATCTTGTCATTGGAACTGATGCCAGTGGCGGAAAATTTTCATCCGATCCCAGATTGCGGACCATTGGATGGGCTGTGATTCTAGCACGCAAAACGGGCCAAAGTATCACAGTTATTGCAACTGCGAGCGGGGTTTTGCCTCGGCCGGCCACGGTTCTAGATGGGGAGGTCCATGCCATTGTTAAGGCCCATGAGCTTTGCCCAGGCCTGACGGATCTTACTACGGATTCTCGGGTAGCTTGCAAGCAGGCTGCAGCTAGGGCGGTTACATCCAAGCATTCCATGTTTTGGAAACCCCAATGGCAGAACATATCCCCACAACATCTTCATTGGGTTAAGGCTCACTTGGATGTAGGAAAATTTGCTGAAAAGTTTGGAAAAGATGAGGTTTGGCGTTGGCATTTGAATCAGGAAGCTGACCAACTTGCTGGGTCCAGGGCTGACCAAGCTTTGCACCCTGATGCCAAAAAGCAAGTCAGGCAAGTTGACACGCTGGTTTCCACCCTTTCCCAGCTACTTAGCCAGAGGGCGGAGATTTTGATTACTACGCAGGACAAGAAGACTATTTTCTGCAAGCGCCAGCCAAAACCTCCAACCCTCAACAAAAGGCAACAGATTGAGCAACTCGTCAGCCAAACCGTCTCTCCGCTGGGACACCAGTGGGAAATTCGGAGTCAGCACCCTACGAACCTCACAGCCATGTGTGGGAAATGTGGCCTTTACCTGCAGCAAGTAGACCCTCCTTCACTGTTCCAGCAGGTCCTTGCCCAGCCGTGCTTGGGAAGGGAAGGTCGTCCCCCGGATCACCTGGCCTGTCACTCTTCCCATCAGCTTGTTTCCATAGGCAAAGCTTGGCAGTGTAAAGTGTGTGAAGGCATTTTGCCAGCGCGGGCAAAGAAAGTCCCGGGGCTCCTCCAGTCCCTGTGTGTGACCCGTAAACACACTAACAAACTGACTAAGTTCACCAAGAGTTTGTTAAGTGGCGTAGGGGTTCCGGAGTCACTACCTGCCTCCAAGAAGGCTAGCAAGCTTTCTAAGGAGACTCTCCCAAAAGCCCAAAACCTTAGCAACTTCTTTGCAACACCACTTAACAGGGTTGAGGCCACTCCCCTGCAAACTCTCACTCCCGATGACCCTCCCTTGCAGAACATGGTCAGGATTGAGCCTCCCTCTCCTGCTGTCCGCGATTACCGGGATCCTGGAAGCCCAGAGCTTGGAGACTTAAGGGCTGCTGGCTCCATTGTTCGCAAGGTGAAGTTCCAAAATCCATCCAACCATTGTTACACCAATTCTCTGGTGGTTGGTTTCTTTTGGGTTGACCTGCTCCTTGATGCCTCCAGCCCCTTTGCTGGATCCCCCATCCAGGGCATCCTGCGATGGTTGAAAGATCAGCGCAAAGTCGAGCTGTGGCAGTCCCTGGTTTGGAAGAGACTAGTTGCAGGCCAGGGTCGATGGGAATCCCCAAATAGCCAGCATGATGTTTGTCAACTTCTCATGCACCTTTCTTCGGGGCTTCCCCGTGACCTCTCTTGCGTTTCATGGCGAGCTCATGCTCCCAACGCACCTCACCACGAGGGTAACTTTTTCCCACTTCCTCTTCACCTCCCGGAGCACGAAGTCCCTATGAAGGAACTTCTGGCAAATTGGCAACAAGGTGGAGAAGTGAAAATTCTTACTCACCCGCCTTTGATTGCATTGCAGCTTTTGAGGTTTGTTAGGGAAGGGGGGGGTTTTCGGAGGCTCGAGAACCCAGTTGGTTTTGAGGATCCTTGTGTGCTTGAGGGATTGGATGGGGAACTTCTTCGTTACTACCCCAAGGCCGTGGTCTCGCATTTAGGCAACTCCCCGACCTCAGGACATTATCGAACTTTACTTCTCCCCTCCAAGCTCATTACTGATGATGGGGTAGGTGCTGTTTGCGCCAAGCCTGCAGATGTAGCCTGGTCTAAGTGCTACTCGTACCTGGTTTTGCTAACCCTCCATGTCTGAGCCTTCTCGCAGCTTTTGGCTCCAAGATGGGTAAAGGAAAAGGGAAGAATAAGCCAGGGAAGGGGCAAAATGCCCCTTTCGAGGACCCGGTAACGGAACAGAGGTACCAGGCCCTCTTGCAGCATCGTTTCAGTGAGGGCAAACCTGCTATTTCGAGATCAAGGTACTCCAGGCAAAGCCAGCACTCAGGTACCGACCGGGAACCTCCGGCTTCTGGTCCCAACTTGTCAAGGTCGGTTGAGGCCCCTATCACAAGGCCAAAAGCCGTACCCAAGCCGGGGGTAGCCCGAACCCCACCACCACCACCGCCAAAGCGGCAACGCACAGAGGCCCAGGCTGAGGAGGCCTCGCCAAGAGCCTCCGGTTCCAATCTGCAGGCTGAGGTGCCCTCGCCTTCCAATGCTGATGAACCAGGCCTAGCCTCCACAACTCAGGTTGAGCAGGTCTCACCTGAACCAACCTCTCCTTTGGGGCCTGAGCAGGATGAGGTGCTGACCTCTCCTAAACAGGAACCTGCCCAGAGTTCTCAGACTGAGGTTCCTCCACCGGCAACCAAGCCGGATACAGAGGCTGGTGATCCAGGCCCGGCCGCCGCAACCCAGGTTGAGAAGGTCTCGCCTGAACCGGCCTCTCCCTCGGAGCATGAGCAGGAAGAGGTACTGACCTCTCCTAAGCAGGAGCCTGCCCAGAGCTCCCAGGTTGAGGTTACCTCACCGGCACCCAAGCCGGATACAGAAGGCAAGGCTTCCAAAACACAGGTTGAGAAGATCTCACCTGAGCCAGCCTCTTCTTTGGTCCCTGAGCAGGTTGAGGAACCCTCCCCTCATCCAGATCCTGTCCCCAGTGACCAGGTTGAGGCGAACTCACCGGCCACCACCAAGTTTTCGGATGAGGCTCCATCCCCAGCGGAGTCCCTTCCAGGCCCAGATCCGGGAATCAAGGGCGAGGACCTCAGAAGGGAGCCAGGTTCGGAGGTTCCCTTGGAGCTTCTCTACAAGCAGCCCCTGAAGATCCCGAGATCCCTCCGAGGCGTGTCCCTCAACAAAAAGGGCTCGTCTGGCACGCCTTGGACTTTTTACAGTCCGGCGGAGCTGGAGGACGAGCATGGAGGGGTATGGGCCGTTTTGGGGGTAGGTGGCAGTCGTGTCACCTTGGAGCCCCCGGCTCAATGGGGACTTGGAGCCGATTTTCAGGTCCTCAAACTGGGGCTCGCCGAGGACATGGACCAGGAGCAGATTTTTCTGGAGGGACTCTCCAGAGATTTCACCTTTATCCCTCGACCGGGGACTTCTGGTGATGTTCTGCTCACCTTGTCAGAGAATGGCCATGGCAAGGGTTTTACCCTACGTGGCCGGGGGGTTTTCTACAGGCGGGTCATCCCTGTGGCTTCTCCGCAGGGAAGGCTTAGGACACTTGATGTCCCGGACCTCCTGGCTTTGCTAAGTGTGGTCGCGTTCTTGAGTGCCTGCCATATCCGCTTGTCGGATCTTGGGGAGCACAATGTAGGTTGGGCCCTCCCGACCTTGGCGCGCACACGCGCCGAGAACATGGCGCTTCAAAGTGTAAAGCTGCGCACGGCCGACTACGTGCAGGTTTGTTTGTACGACGGGGGCCGCTGGAGAGAAGCGCAGCACAAGCACTGGCCTGGAAAGGCGGCAACCAAGGGGCTTCTTGGCCTATGCGCCAAACATGACATGTTTGGTCCATGGGTGGAAGAACAAATCCACCTTTATGGCTCCCCCGAGGTTTTGTGCAAGGTCTTCCTCCACCGCCTCCAGGACTTTCCGCACCACTTTGAGGGATTAAAGGACT